CATTAAAGAATTCACGTAATTTAACAAATAATTAAAAAATATTACATGAATTTGAAATACTATATACTTTAGTAACCATAAACCAGCAAAATAACTCACAAAAATTCAGCAAATGTTTTCTTCCATCTTAAATGGGCATCTTCAGCTATGTTATTCTGTCTTGGAACTGCTCAAAATGGAACATGCATGTTCAAAAATTGGCCACTTGTTGATTGTGGAGTCATAATCTTGATGTTCTCATGGATATGTCATGGTGAAATGGTGGTGTTGTAGGAATATTCTCCATGCCAGTGGAAAAATGTTGGCATCATTAAAGTTAATGGCCATACATCTTAAAGCAGTCCTCTGTGTCTCCATGAGCTCCAGGTGTTGGAGTTGTGCCCTATTTTGTACATGGTGAAACAATCTCATTTGGTCAAAGTGGACCACAACATCATGGTCATATGTGTATGCCACTAGGGCTACAGTGGTGTAGCCCTTATTTATATCAGACTGGTATTCTTTCATATGGGTGGTTATATGTTGGCTAGTGATCCCCACATATTCAAGTGATCTATTGCATCTATTGTCCCTATAGAATAGATGTCTGATAAATGTTGCTGATGGGAAGGTCTTTGGAATTCCTCATGAGAGAGTATATGGCCAGTTTAAAGTTGTTGTGTCTAGTGATTTCGTTGTATATAGGAACTAATAGTTATAAAGGTGACACCTTGTATGCTTCTGTGTCAGTGGGATTATGCTGTGCTCTTGAGAGTTGTGATGTGCAATGAGCTTCCTAATGACCTTGGAACATCCATGTTGAAAGGCTTGTGCAGTGATGGATTGATATTCCATTTGTGTGTGATGGATGAATGGGCATATGTCCTGCAGATCAGAGTTGAAGGCAGACACCTTGTATTAAAAATGGTTATGAGAAGTTGGAATGAAGGAGGTATGGTATGGGACTTCCTGTAGATTCTGGTTGTGTTGTGTTCCTCAACTATCTGTATGTCAATGTCAAGGAAGTGGACACTTCTGTCATTGCTCTGTTCAGATTTTAGGCAAAGCCCATAGGGTTTGGTGTTGAAAGCATCCAATATTTCTTGTCAATGTACTGTACCATATGTAAAGAGCCATTTGGCTGTCAACTTTGGGTAGGATGGAGGCCTCTGGGTGTTGGATTACAAGTTTGCATAATGTACCCAAAAGGGAACTTCCCATCATCACCCTTATGTTACAGGTAAGTCAAATTGTCAAAAGAAAGAAGTGTGGAGATATCAGATAGTTATAAGATGTTGGTGTAGTGGTTGGATGCATCAGCATTGTTACTCATTAAGAAATCATGTAAGAAACAAAAGCATGGTTTGATAGTGAGTAGAGGGTATGATGACTGAAAATCATAAATAGTGAAAAAACCAGGACTACTGAGTTTGATGTCTTGGAGACATATGATCAATTGTTGTGTATTGGTGACAGTGAGAGGGTAATCCAGGATGTACTCCAAGATGAATTTGTTGATTACTTTTTTTAATGCAGATCATGGGAGAAGAGACCTTATCAAAAATAGGATGTAACTGAATGTGTGTCTTCAAGAGACATCAGACTGATTATATTTCTAAGTATACCAGATTGATATAAATAAGGGCCACACTTTTACAGCCTTGGTGACATACATGTGTGATCCTGATGTTGTGGTCCAGTTTGACCAAATGACTTTTCTATCATCACAAAATAGAGCACAGTTCTGATATCTGGAGCTAGTAGAGATACATGGAGCTGCTTTAAGACATATAGCCAATAACTTTAATAATGCTGACACTTTTCCATTAGCATGGAGAATGTGCCTACAACACCACTGCTCCATAACTTATCCACAGCATCCACAAGAACATCAAGATTACAATTCCACCAATCAACGAGCGGTCACATTTTTGAATATACATGTTCCATCTCAAGCAGTTCTAAGATTGAACAACAAAGCCTGAAGATGCCCATTTAAGATGGAAGAAAACATCTGCTGAATTTTTGTGAGTTATTTTGTGACCAGAGGTTCGGTACCTCCTTGGTACCTCGTCAGGACTGACACCATTGTGTCTTCAGGATAGACACAGAAACTGCAACTTTAGAGTTTGCGTGAGCAGTTACATGTGCAGCTGATTGGATTCGGGATGGAGGAGGGTTGAGAGATGGCTCGGAAGTGATTCATTTGAATACGAGGTTAACAGCAAAAACAACTAATTTAATATAATGGAAAAGAATACATGACTGACTGATCGAGAGAGTTTACATGACATCATGTGTTGTTATAAATACCTGGTTCACTGGGTATTCCAAATAGTGGGGGAGGCACTGGGGAGGCCGGGAAGTGTCTTTGAGAATGTCTTTAGGGCCTTGAATGGCGATTAAAGTCTATTGGAAGTTAAAATCCATTGGTTCTTTTCATCCTTTATGAAGACAATCTTCAGGTTCTACTGGTAGACCACAAATCGAACAAAAACAGAATGTAAATAATACTTGCTGTGCATGTGCAGGATTGCAGGAATAAATTATAAAATAAAAATGATTACAAAAGAAAACAACACAGGTTAAATGCATATAAATAACAAAAAGTTGGCATAAAATATGCTTCAAAATAATTGGCATGCTGATATATAATGATAAAATATGAACATAATATATGTATACTAAGCATAAACTGTTTACAAAATATTACATAGTTGCTTTATTGCCCTCTAGGCATGCAACATAGGAGCCATATTCCTGCTGTTGATAGCTATTCCTTTAGAAATAGCCCTATATATCTCAAGAATCTCCCATTACATTATATGAATGTAATTTTAATAAATGAGCTGTTTATTTTGAAAGTGGGGCAAGTCCATTTTTGAAAAAAATGGAGATAATGGTAGTTATAGATAAAACTTGTTATGATCTTTTTATGCGTAAACAATTTATAGTAAAAAAAAATTCAGATTCTAGTATTTGGGAGATGGAAGTTTTAGCTCTTAACAGTATTGAAAATATGTTTATTTTGAAAGTGGTGCAAGTCCATCTTAGATTGAAATTATTTTTGGCCGCATATATTACGGCAAAATTTAGCTCCGGTTGCTGTATGGTTAAGCAATGTGGGCGTTTGACATCATGTCTGAAATCTAGGGTGTTTCTATCTATCTATCTTTGATATTGAAAGTCGGTGGTTGTACAATATTTCATAAATAACAAAAAGTATATCTTAATTTTGTGTTTCAATAATAATAGGTTTACTTCCAACACCGAGAAATATAAGCGGAATATGTATGTATTGAATCAACAATTTTCATAATGATGAAGTTTGTATGTACGTTTGGGATGAAACTATAGCATCCTGAGGAGCACAAGAAGTAGCATCTTGCTGTTTGAAGCACTTAAATACTGTGTTAACCCAAAAACACATTATAGCTTATAGTGACATGTGCACTGGCCAAAATAGAAACATATAGTTGGCCTTAATGTGGATGAAAATTGTTCAGTCTGGTGACAATGAAATAAATATCATTGATCACAAATTTTTATTTTTAGGACATTCATTTTTACTGAACGATCGTGATTTTGGAGTGGTAGAAATGGCAATCCGGAAAGCCAGTTCCTTGTATATTCCCCAGGATTACTATAAACTAATATGAAATTGTCAAAAACATAATAAATTTTTAGTACATGAAATGAAATGCAAAAATTTTTTTTCAACCCAACCTCTGGGGAAAGCAGTTTTAAAAAGAAACAAAAATACCGATGGAGAAACCGTGAATTGGTTAAATATATGCTGAATCAGATTTACAAGGGATGCACCATACAAAATGTTCTACAAAACTTCGATAGAACGAGATGCTGAATTTAAAATTATCGATTTGTCACCACAACGAGGAAGACCAAGTAATTTCGGAAATATAAAGTTATCTTTTCTGTATGAAAAAAGGAGATCTATTACATCTGAAAAATACAAGGACATGATGGATTTATTACCATATATACCTCCCGTTCATCATGAATATTTTAAAATGTTAAATCCTGAATAAAATTCATTTAGTTATACCTACGTATAAACTGAAAATGTATAATTTGATTGAAATTCTTAATAAAACTGAATTTTTTTTGTTATGTTATATTTTCTACTAGAATATTCTTTGTTTTGTTTCACTTTTTATCAAATGAATAAATATTTATAAAAATTTGAATAGTATTTTGTTTTTATTATTAAAAAAAGGCTGATGCAACTGAAAAAATTCCCAATTAAATGAACGATTACAATAATTCATTAATTTTGAAAGTGAGGCAAGTCCATTTAGTTATAATGAAACTCTTACTTTTTTTAGTCAGCACTGTAAACACTATTGGATTATAAACTTACATTATCTGGTACCACAAAATATTAAAAATATATCTATTAATACTTACCAATATTTTTAAATTTATTGAAATGCAAACCTTTAAATATCTCGCAATAACAAAAATTGGACTTGTCCCATTTTCAAAATAAACGGTTCAAGTAACTTAATAGATTACTTCTTTATACATAAAATATAATTAAAAACTAAATTTTGATTGTACTTTCAATAGCACTTGATAGACAGAATATTTTGATCCTTTTAAGTGGTCAGTATTTTCTAATCCTGTAGATGACTAGTTATTGATATTTTTCTCTTTATATATTATTTTCAGTATGTGAGGTTGCCAATTTGCAACATTAATTTGCATTCAGGATGACAATAGGGGTGAGGAATTATATATGGGTGTGAACACACTGAGACAAATCTCTTTCACTAAATAAAAGCTATTTATTTGGAGAAAGAAATTTTAGCTGTTACAGCAGTAATAATCCTAAGCATTGGCAAAAAAGTCTTAAAGAGAAGTCACTACATAGTTTTACTTCTGGATCCAGGTGTCAATCATTCTGTGGGTGGAAACTTTAACACCTAACAAGGAGATGTAGCATTTAATTATCACAACTTGGGTAAGAAAGATGGGAAAACTGATTTTGACTTCCAGCATAATGACTGATGATACTTGATCACGTGAGATTCTTAGATGGACAAGTGATGGAGCAGAAGTGGAATTCTGTTGATAATTGGGATGGATTATTACAAGATTTTTTTGAAATGGACTGGATCTTAGCAAAACAACATATAAACAAAGGTCTTGGAGGAAAGATATTCAAGAAATGAATCTTGGTGAATGAACCTTACTGATGGCACTTCATCATGTTTTTGGAAAGCAAAGAATCTCATGTCCTTGAGACATAGGCTTTTATTAATCCAGTCTTTTTAATCAGTTGTCCTGATTGGTTTCAGACCTGTCTTCACTCTCAAAGTGGTTGCTTATCTGTTGCTAAGTTCTGCTAGGTGCAATATGATCTCTGCTTAGGTCAATGGAGAGATCAACATCAACATTTAGTCTGATCCCAACCAGAGAGGGTGAATCCAATTGTGAGACTTACATTCTTACATTATTTGTATGTTCTTATCTTATTTTATGTTCTTAATATTTTTCTGTATGAAAAATATTTCTACTTTCCTTCTTCCTTTCATTCTAAAATATTTTAACACAAATTTCAAATTTTAGTGAGAGGTCACAAATATAATTTTTTTGTAGGATGTAGATCTTGTTCCATCAGATGTGGTTGCTGGCTTGATTCTTCTTCATGAGAAACAAATGGCAGAAAGGATATCAAGAGCATCGACTTCACAGCATTCAGAAACATTTTCTGCTCAGTCACCTGATTCTCTCACAAGTACAGGTAAATATTATATTTAACAAAGAAAAGTTGATTTTAAATACAGTTACTCAATAGTGTTTCTAAGATACGGTACTTTAATTAAAATTAATAGTAAAAAAATGAAATAAGTTGTTAAAAAATTTGGCATTGTTATCATTATCTATTTCATTGATGGAAAAAAGTGGATGTAATAATTCCATATTGTTCCAGCTTTTTAAATTCAGTAATATTACATTCAGTCAATAATATTTTTTTATCTTGTTTAGTTGATCATTATGACTACAATAGCTATAATTGCAAGCAATAAAATTAATAATCAACATTCAGCAGAATCCTGATTATCCAAGTTAATGTAGATTGATGTAGATAACCAAAAACTTGGATAAAACAGATAGCCATGGTCATTTTGAATAAAAATTACAAATGTAAAAGATTTATATGTTGTTTAGTAATTTTAATCATATATAAGAATAACATTTTTTCATTAACATCAAGTTTTTGTAAATTATAAGAAGAGTAGCATATTCACTTTTAGTTTCACTTTGGTTAATTGGGCTCAAATAGTCTGGGTTCAACTGTATTTTTAAATAAATGTAGATAATTTTATAATTTGAATTGTACAAGATGAACAAATTTTAATTAATTTTAATAAGTGATAATTACTATTAATGATTGTCAGAATATAGGAAAAATTCATTAAAGGTGAATCAGTATTTTAATTTCAAATGTTTTTAACCTGTTTCAATTCAAAGTAACATGCTGATTAATGAATGGGTTATCATCAGGCATCAAATATAGAACATTCAATTGTCCAATTTTTTCCAGAGTTAGTGGATTTACTTATTAAGATTATCAATAACATTATTTTAATGCATTTTTGTATTACATACAAGGAGCATTCAAAAAGTTCCCAGAAAAAGTAAATAAAAAGATATCAAATTGAATTTAGCAATTTATTTTTCAACATATATTTGATTAAGTTAAAACATTTTTCATATGATGTCAGCATCCTTCTAAGCCTTTCTAGTTGAAATCAGTATGCTTTGATTCTAGTCAGTTGCACTACAAAACATTTCACTTGATCTCTTGACTGCCAGCAAACACCTTTAATGTCTATTTTTAAATTTGAGAATTAAAAAAGTCTGATGGGCTAGATCCAGATAATAGGGAGGGTGCAATAAAATCTTGCATTGGTATACACTCAATACTGTCCTGGTAGATCTTCCAGAATGAGCTGGTATGTTAGTGATGGAACAAGATGTGCTGATGAATTTTTTCAGGACTTTTTCTTTTAGAGTTGCATGCAGTTTTCTTAAAACTGTTTCATAATAGCTTGCAGTTATTGTTCTTCAGTCTTCAGGAAAATCTATGAGCAACATGCCATCAGAATCCCAGAAAATTGTGGCTGTTATCTTCATAGCCAATCTTTTTGTTTCTGTTTTAAATTTATGGGGGCACTTGAATCACTTGGTAAACATTGCTTTTTGACTCTTATTAAAATGCATCCATAAAGAGTGATTTTCTTTGATGCATTCTCTTTATAAACATCTTTGGTAGCTGTAGGAAACCCGTTCTTAATCAGCGGATTCCACCCTGTCAGTTCGTCTCACCAATTAGCCAGTCCAATATTTCCACAAAAAAAAAACTTTATTTCACTCTCAGGGATCGCTACTTCACACTCGCTCTCCTTCTCATGTCCTGAATCTCTCCCTCTTTCTCCCTTTCCCCACGTTTTTCTCCCCTGGGTTTATGGCCTTCTGTCATCGTGTGTTGGTGGGTCGCATCCGTTCTGACGAAATCACAAGAGAGGAAGGGCGAGGAGGTCCAATATCCTGCCGCAAGACAAGTGTTAGGGAGTTAACCTGAACACTGCTCTGAACTACAATTTTCAAAAAAATAAAGGTTACAGTAAAACTTAGCTTCTCAAGAATACAATAAGTTCATACAGATGATACACAACACAATTTTCCTTTTACGCAAATTATATTCATAGTTCTCATCACCACATGTCGAAAGGACCGTCATCTTAAAGTCGTAAGTACAGGGAGCATCTCTTCCTTACACAAGTTTCAATAGAGCATCCGCATTGTTCAGTTGAGATCCAGGGCAATGCTTGATGGTGATGTTGTGTCTCTGTAGGGCCCATGCCCACCGCTGAAGTTTTGATGACTGCAGTGCACTCTTCGTCGAAAACATCAATGGGTTATGGTCGGTTTGTAGTTCGATCTTCACACTGAAAACCCACTTCTCGAACTTCTTCAGACCCCACACGACGGTGTAAGCCTCACGTTCAATTGTAGACCACGCTTGCTGTGTCGGGGTGAATTTTTGCTGGCGGTAGGATATCGGGTGGACTTTTCCTTCAGATTATTGTGACAGACAGGCGTGTGAAGATTGGGATCTGTGATGCATCGGTTTGGATGATGAAGGGCTGTCCCAGCACTGGTGTGTAAAGTGCGGGCGCTCTCATTAGGGCTGTCTTCAGACGGCAAAATGCAACATCATGAACCCCGGTCCAGGGCAAGGCATCGGGAACCTTCCTCTTTGTCAGCTCAATGAGTGGGTGGGCTGTGGTAGCATAATTGGGAATATGTTCTCTATAATAATTGCATAGACCCAAGAGGCTCTTTAGTTGCCTCTTGTTCCTAGGTACGGGCAACCATGAGATGGCTCGAACCTTGTCGGGATCTATGTGGTGCTTTCCTGAGCCGATGATGTGGCCAAGGTACTTAATCTTGGGCTTAGCGAATGAGCATTTGTTGATGTGTAGTGATATCGGACCTCCTTGCTCTTCCTCTCCTGTGGTTTTGTCGGAACGGATGCAACCCGGCCACACGCAATGACAGAAGGCCATAAAACCCGGGGGAGAAAAACGCAGGAAAAGGGAGAAGGAGGGAGAGATTCAGGACATGAGAGGGAGTGTGAAGTAGCAATCCCTGAGAGTGAAATAAAGTTTTTTTTGTGGAAATATTGGACTAGTTAATTGGTGAGACGAACTGACAGGGCGGAATCCGCTGATTAAGAATGGGCTCCCTACATAATACAATAAATCTGACTTACGGAACCTTTAACCGATGTGTGTCACTTTTTCTTTCAAAAATCAAACGTTTTCCTAACCCCTTCTGGGTTCTTCATCAGG